CAGGTATTAAGCCGACGTGGTTTGCTCAAGCTACGCGACTAACGTGGCTTAGATTAATTTCTTTGGAACTTGAACTGCTTGAGCAAAGTTGAGTTTCTACGACTACAAAATATTTTTTCATAACTTCGTTTTTTTTGCCAGGTATTAAGCCGGCGTGCTTTGCTCAAGCAACGCGACTAACGTGGCACAGATTAGTTTCTTTGTAACTTGAACTGCTTGAGCAAAGTTGAGTTTCTATGAATACAATATATATTTTCATAACTGTTCGTTTTTGCCAGGTATTAAGCCGGCGTGGTTTGCTCAAGCAACGCGACTAACGTGGCATAGATTAATTTTTTTGAAACTTGAACTGCATGAGCAAAGTTGAGTTTCTATGAAAACAGTATATATTTTCATAACTGTTCGTTTTTGCCTGGTATTACGCCGGCGTGGTTTGCTCAAGCTACGCGACTAACGTGGCTTAGGTTAATTTCTTTGGAACTTGAACTGCTTGAGCAAAGTTGAGTTTCTATGAATACAATATATATTTTCATAACTGTTCGTTTTTGCCAGGTATTAAGCCGACGTGGTTTGCTCAAGCAACGCGACTAACGTGGCATAGATTACTTTTTTTAAACTTGAACTGCATGAGCAAAGTTGAGTTTCTATGAATACAGTATATATTTTCATAACTGTTGTTTTTGCCAGGTATTAAGCCGGCGTGGTTTGCTCAAGCTACGCGACTAACGTGGCTTAGATTAATTTCTATGGAACTTGAACTGCTTGAGCAAAGTTGAGTTTCTATGAATACAAAATATTTTTTCATAATTGTTCGTTTTTGCCAGGTATTAAGCCGGCGTGGTTTGCTCAAGCAACGCGACTAACGTGGCATAGATTACTTTTTTTGAAACTTGAACTGCATGAGCAAAGTTGAGTTTCTATGAATACAGTATATATTTTCATAACTGTTGTTTTTGCCAGGTATTAAGCCGGCGTGGTTTGCTCAAGCTACGCGACTAACGTGGCTTAGAGTAATTTCTATGGAACTTGAACTGCTTGAGCAAAGTTGAGTTTCTATGAATACAAAATATTTTTTCATAACTGTTCGTTTTTGCCAGGTTTTGAGCCGGCGTGCTTTGCTCAAGCAACGCGACTAACGTGGCATAGATTAATTTCTGTGAAACTTGAACTGCGTGTGCAAAGTTGAGTTTCTATGATTACAATATATATTTTCATAACTGTTCGTTTTTGCCAGGTATTAAGCCGGCGTGCTTTGCTCAAGCAACGCGACTAATGTGGCATAGAATATTTTCTGTGAACTTTGAACTGCCTGAGCAAAGTTGAGTTTCTATGAATACAAAATATTTTTTCATAACTGTTCGTTTTTGCCTGGTATTAAGCCGGCGTGGTTTGCTCAAGCTACGCAACTAACGTGGCTTATTTTAATTTCTTTGGAACTTGAACTGCTTGAGCAAAGTTGAGTTTCTATGAATACAAAACATTTTTTCATAACTGTTCGTTCCTTTGCCAGGTATTAAGCCGGCGTGCTTTGCTCAAGCAACGCGACTAACGTGGCACAGATTAGTTTCTTTGAAACTTGAACTGCTTGAGCAAAGTTGAGTTTCTATGAATACAATATATATTTTCATAACTCTTCGTTTTTGCCAGGTTTTAAGCCGGCGTGGTTTGCTCAAGCTACGCGACTAACGTGGCTCAGATTAATTTCTTTGGAAGTTGAACTGCTTGAGCAAAGTTGAATTTCTATGAATACAAAATATTTTTTCATAACTGTTCGTTTTTTGCCAGGTTTTTAGCCGGCGTGCTTTGCTCAAGCAACGCGACTAACGTGGCACAGATTAGTTTCTTTGAAACTTGAACTGCTTGAGCAAAGTTGAGTTTCTATGAATACAACATGTTTTTTCATAACTGTTCGTTTTTGCCAGGTATTAAGCCGGCGTGCTTTGCTCAAGCAACGCGACTAATGTGGCATAGAATATTTTTGTGAACTTTGAACTGCCTGAGCAAAGTTGAGTTTCTTTGAATACAATATAGATTTTCATAACTGTTCGTTTTTTCCTGGTATTAAGCCGGCGTGGTTTGCTCAAGCTACGCAACTAACGTGGCTTATTTTAATTTCTTTGGAACTTGAACTGCTTGAGCAAAGTTGAGTTTCTATGAATACAAAACATTTTTTTAAAACTGTTCGTTCCTTTGCCAGGTTTTAAGCCGGCGTGGTTTGCTCAAGCTACGCGACTAACGTGGCTCAGATTAATTTCTTTGGAAGTTGAACTGCTTGAGCAAAGTTGAATTTCTATGAATACAAAATATTTTTTCATAACTGTTCGTTTTTTGCCAGGTTTTTAGCCGGCGTGCTTTGCTCAAGCAACGCGACTAACGTGGCACAGATTAGTTTCTTTGAAACTTGAACTGCTTGAGCAAAGTTGAGTTTCTATGAATACAATATATATTTTCATAACTCTTCGTTTTTGCCAGGTTTTAAGCCGGCGTGGTTTGCTCAAGCTACGCGACTAACGTGGCTTAGATTAATTTCTATGGAACTTGAACTGCTTGAGCAAAGTTGAGTTTCTATGAATACAAAATATTTTTTCATAACTGTTCGTTTTTGCCAGGTTTTGAGCCGGCGTGCTTTGCTCAAGCAACGCGACTAACGTGGCATAGATTAATTTCTGTGAAACTTGAACTGCGTGTGCAAAGTTGAGTTTCTATGATTACAATATATATTTTCATAACTGTTCGTTTTTGCCAGGTATTAAGCCGGCGTGCTTTGCTCAAGCAACGCGACTAATGTGGCATAGAATATTTTCTGTGAACTTTGAACTGCCTGAGCAAAGTTGAGTTTCTATGAATACAATATAGATTTTCATAACTGTTCGTTTTTGCCTGGTGTTAAGCCGGCGTGGTTTGCTCAAGCTACGCAACTAACGTGGCTTATTTTACTTTCTTTGGAACTTGAACTGCTTGAGCAAAGTTGAGTTTCTATGAATACAAAACATTTTTTCATAACTGTTCGTTCCTTTGCCAGGTATTAAGCCGGCGTGCTTTGCTCAAGCAACGCGACTAACGTGGCACAGATTAGTTTCTTTGAAACTTGAACTGCTTGAGCAAAGTTGAGTTTCTATGAATACAATATATATTTTCATAACTCTTCGTTTTTGCCAGGTTTTAAGCCGGCGTGGTTTGCTCAAGCTACGCGACTAACGTGGCTCAGATTAATTTCTTTGGAAGTTGAACTGCTTGAGCAAAGTTGAATTTCTATGAATACAAAATATTTTTTCATAACTGTTCGTTTTTTGCCAGGTTTTTAGCCGGCGTGCTTTGCTCAAGCAACGCGACTAACGTGGCACAGATTAGTTTCTTTGAAACTTGAACTGCTTGAGCAAAGTTGAGTTTCTATGAATACAACGTGTATTTTCATAACTGTTCGTTTTTGCCAGGTATTAAGCCGGCGTGCTTTGCTCAAGCAACGCGACTAACGTGGCATAGATTAATTTTTTTGAAATTTGAACTGCCTGAGCAAAGTTGAGTTTCTATGAATACAATATATATTTTCATAACTCCTCGTTTTTGCGAGGTACTAAGCCGGGGTGGTTTGCTCAAGCAACGCGACTAACGTGGCATAGATTAATTTTTTTGAAACTTGAACTGCCTGAGCATAGTTGAGTTTCTATGATTACAATATATATTTTCATAACTGTTCGTTTTTGCCAGGTTTTAAGCCGGCGTGGTTTGCTCAAGCTACGCGACTAACGTGGCTTAGATTAAATTCTTTGGAACTTGAACTGCTTGAGCAAAGTTGAGTTTCTATGAATACAAAACATTTTTTCATAACTGTTCGTTCCTTTGCCAGGTATTAAGCCGGCGTGCTTTGCTCAAGCAACGCGACTAACGTGGCACAGATTAGTTTCTTTGAAACTTGAACTGCTTGAGCAAAGTTGAGTTTCTATGAATACAATATATATTTTCATAACTGTTCGTTTTTGCCAGGTTTTAAGCCGGCGTGGTTTGCTCAAGCTACGCGACTAACGTGGCTCAGATTAATTTCTTTGGAAGTTGAACTGCTTGAGCAAAGTTGAATTTCTATGAATACAAAATATTTTTTCATAACAGTTCGTTTTTTGCCAGGTTTTAAGCCGGCGTGCTTTGCTCAAGCAACGCGACTAACGTGGCACAGATTAGTTTCTTTGAAACTTGAACTGCTTGAGCAAAGTTGAGTTTCTATGAATACAACATGTTTTTTCATAACTGTTCGTTTTTGCCAGGTAATAAGCCGGCGTGCTTTGCTCAAGCAACGCGACTAACGTGGCATAGATTAATTTTTTTGAAACTTGAACTGCCTGAGCAAAGTTGAGTTTCTATGAATATAATATATATTTTCATAACTCCTCGTTTTTGCGAGGTACTAAGCCGGGGTGGTTTGCTCAAGCAACGCGACTAACGTGGCATAGATTAATTTTTTTGAAACTTGAACTGCCTGAGCAAAGTTGAGTTTCTATGATTACAATATATATTTTCATAACTGTTCGTTTTTGCCAGGTTTTAAGCCGGCGTGGTTTGCTCAAGCTACGCGACTAACGTGGCTTAGATTAACTTCTTTGGAACTTGAACTGCTTGAGCAAAGTTGAGTTTCTATGAATGCAATATATTTTTTCATAACTGTTCGTTTTTGCCAGATATTAAGCCAACGTGCTTTGCTCAAACAAAGCGAATAACCTTGCATAGAATAATTTTGATGAAACTATAGCTGTGTTTGCAACGTTGAGTTTCTATGAACACAAAATGTTTTTTTTTTAAGTTTTTTTTTCTTACCAGGTATTAAACCGGCTTTGGTCGAGTACGAAACTGCGTCTGGAATGTTTGAATTCTACAAATCTGTTTCTTTTTTGGAAGGCAGGCGGAAAATTTAAATTTTCCAGATTTCGACGACTTTTTTGAGTTCCACATAGATTTCGTGACAAATCTTCCAATATCTACTGACAATTGTTTTTTCATTATTTGTTTAGTAATGACCTGTGGCAGCCTGCACTGGGTGAACGATCTTCCCGGATTGATGCACCGCGTGATTAGAAGCCTAGTGCCAGATGGAGTGTTTCTGGGTTCGCTCTTAGGTGGAGACACTCTTTTTGAATTGAGGACAGCTCTTCAGTTGGCGGAACAGGAAGTTGAGAATGGATTTGGACCCCACGTGTCGCCCATGGTTAATATGCCTGACATGGGAAGGTAATTAAGAATTTTTTCAATTGTTAATTGTTGCGGGCACTGTAAGAAAAATCAATCTACTATTTTGTTTTCGAAGGAATTAAAGATCAGAGTAATTAGTTGGGAAGAAATAGTTGGAAAAGTAGAATCAATTGAGAGCGTATCGTAAAAAGTGAGATGTAGTTAATATTAATAGCAACAAAAGATTCAATTTCCTGGAGAAGATGTTTGATCTCTGCCTCAGTTGTAGTTGCAGTGGTGGGGTTCATGAACTTGCTTAGAATCCGAGTCTTCGCTTCCTTTCAATTAAACCACACTCATAATGTCGTTTTAGATTTCCAGAGGCGTTCTCATATACTTTTCGTTAAATTCAAACTCTTGAATCCCGAGGTTATTTGATGCGCAACCGATATCAACTGTGTTTTGTTTGTAGAATACTGCAACGTATCTTTCGAAGGCTTTGTTCAAATTTGCAAAGTAATTCTGATAAGTTGTATTAATTTTAAATGGTAATATTTAGAGAATTTTTCTTCACCAGAGAGATTTTAATGTAGTAGGAAACGAATCAACAAATAACACATTTATATAGAGAAAGAGACCAGTTCAAAATTCTATAGTATAAAGTTCTCTTTTGGTTTTTTACTGATTATTTCCTAATTATTACACTTGCGAAGCGAGTGTATTAGTACGAACCTTCTTTTTCCAACTTAAGTCGCAATTATTAGTGCCAGTTTTGGGGCACCTTTACAGCTTTTTGATAGCATATGCGCTGAAATTCGAATTGTAATAAGTTAACACAGTTGATGCATTTTTAGTTCATCAAGTAAACCTAAAAAAGTGAATTGTTTCAAACTACATAACAATAATGAAAACTCGGTTTCAGAAATTTTCTAAGTTAATATATCTCAGTTTTTTGAATTGCATAATTAATACATTTTGTGGTTTTATGCTTTGCGATTTATTTAATGCAAAATTAGTGTGAGTGCCTTCAGTTTATAATAATCCAAGTTATTACTTGCAAAATTGAGTCTATTTGTATTTGGTGCCACTTTTGCTGAAGGCTACTTATTGGTATCTATTGCTGCTTTATTCGGGACAAGTGTTTGTCGGTTGTTAAGTTTGCGTGGCTGAGTGGATAGTGCGTGAGACTCAAAATCACTTGATTGCAGTAGATCGCAGATCGAATCCTAGACCCAGCCGAGTTTTTGCTAATTTGAGGCTTATTTCTTTTTTCTTCAGAGCTGCTTTTTGGTCGTGTTCTCACAAGTGTTTGCGAAGCGCTGCTTCGCCTCTGTGTAAATTTTTGAATGATCCTTTAATGAGTAGTTTGTTTGTACAAGTAGTTTCCTTAGTTAGGGGCATCTCCTAGGGAGGCTGTAATTATTGGACTTCATTGATTTTGTTCTCTGAGTTTGTACAATGTGATTGAATTTGTAATGACTAGTGGAATATAAATAAATAAATTAATTATGTATGAATAACTCTCTCCTAGTTAAATACATTTGTTAGTATCCATTTGCAGATTGTTGCACAGTGCTGGATTCAAGATGATCACGATAGACGTAGATGAGATCTGTGTGAGGTATCCGGACATGCACTCCCTAATGGTGGATCTGGGCAGGATGGGGGAGGGCAACTGTGCCTGGAACAGGAAGCCCAGTCTGAGAAGGGACACTATGAAAGTGGCAGGTGGGCTTGTATTCTTTTGTTTTACAGCAAGATTTTTTATCTCCATCATTCAAAGCCGTTACAAAAATATCAGTTAAAACAGTAAATAATATTTCGGTTTCCTTGTTCATTGACACTATTACAACTGTATGTTAGCTATTTTTCTAATGCTTAATACAGAAATTCGATCAAGTTTGTAAGTTGAATTCGTGATAAGTATGCGTAATGGGACTATTCTGCATGAAACGTCACCAATTAAGTAGTTACGATATGTGTTAGCCGAGATTTTTTTTCTTGTCAAAATTCATTGATTAAAGCCTAATTTAGGCGCCGATTTAACGTTTTCCCATAAATGTTTTTACTGGTACTGACCGAGTTTTAAATTCAGGTTAAGAAACATCGAGCTTGGGAACATTTTCGTATGTTTTTAAAATAATTTTGAGATTGTATTTGATTAGCTGATAGCAGTGATATCCATTTAAAAACCATTCAAATTAATTAATATGTTCATTTAAATTTCAATCTTCTAAATGTGAAATTATGAGCCCACTCAATTTCAATGAAAATTTTAAATATAACTCGAACAACAAATGTTGCAAGTAGATGTGTCCCAAAAAATATTTTCGATGTTTTCTCAAAATTGCGAAAATTACCCATAAATGGCAGAAAAACTGCTAAAAACGTGGCAGTGCAACAGTGCCGAAGTAAAATAGTGCCGAAAATGAAAAAGAGTCCAACAGTGCCAAAATTTATGATTTTCGGCACTGTTGAACACTTTCATTTTCGCACTGTTGATTGCCCCCCTAAAAACAGACTAAAGAAAAAATTAAATTGCTAAAGAAATATATACAGAAAAATTTAAATAGATGCCAACAAGTCTTATAATTTTCTTGAACATTTTTAATTTAAATTTCAGTTTTTTTTAAATGGACATCACTGGGTGATGGGTAAATTGAATTATAGTACTTTACGGGACCATAAATGAGCGTTAAAACACTTAAAATGAACTGTTCGAGTTATTAGGTTTAAATTTCTCTGAAGTACAGTTGGAGGGAGAAATATGTAGCGTCGTCAATTACAGCGTTTGAATTAAGTGTCAACTTTAAATTAAGTGTCAATAAACGGAGAAAAGGCACGTATATAGGTCGTGTTGAGTTTGTTTTCAGGAAAAAGTTTTTCGTTCTCAAGTTTGATGTTTGCGGTTTGACTTTGATTTTTTGGATCAACCGTACAATCTCCCTCCCCCTAAGTGACCTACCGTAGAATGCCCTCCTCAAGCATGTTTTAAATCTGAACAATAATCCTGTAAAATGTGTTGCGCAAATAACGGTTGATCCGTTTTTTTATCGTGTCCCGGTTACAGTTGATCCGATTTTTTAATGTCAATTGAAATTCACGTGCTAGAAGTATACCAAGTTCCCACATTGATTTACAAAAATTCCTAGCGGATGTTAAACAAATCTTATGCTCAATTTTTTTCCGAATAAGGTTAGTGTTGTCATTTAAATCAAAATTTTCCAAAAGCAACACCAATTCTCCTTGATTTCATAAAGGCCTAAAAAAATGAACGCTTTTGTTAAAAGAGACCACCTGTACAAAAATGGAAAACCGAGAAAAATGACATAATTGAGAGAAAATTGCATAGAGCAAAGAGAAAAAGTAGAAAAAAAACTACTAAAAAGATTATTTTTTTACAGGAGATTCAATAATAATAGGAGACTCGCGATAAGTATATAAACTTTTGAATGAAGACGTATCGTTTTGTTCCAGAAAAAATTCGAAGTTATTAATCCATCACTCATCGATAATAAGATTCTAACCGTACTTGCGCTTTATTTTTTTTGATTTGCTCATTTTTTGCTTTTGTTCAGTTAATCAAAGAAACTCCAAAAAAAACCTAATTTCTTTTTTATATCCAGGAGACTTTTTCCTATATAAAAGGAAAATCAGCAATTCTTACATCCCTTGTATAAGCAGAAAAAAAACATGCTCTTTGGCTAATCGAGGCTCTAAGTTATTAAACCTAATGAGTGCAATTAATATATTAGCCTCTAATTTTGGAATCATGAATGTAAATGATGAATGAATCTTCGTTCACAAATTCAAAGATAATTATCTAGTCGGAAATACTGAACTGATTGGAAATATTTTCCACAAATTATTCATTTTCATAAACCAGTGAAAGTATCGGGGTAAATGCTTACGGGTAGTCGTTTTATGCTTTTTATCTCGTTACCAAAATCTGAACCCTCAACTCCTTCTGGGTTTCGAGAAAACGACATTATTCTGAAACTTTTGAAAAATTGCAAAAACTTAGGGTTTCTTATAGATATTTTTTCTAGTTGCTTCGATATCCTAAATGGAGCTGCATTGAATCTGCTTTTAGCGAAGCTGCATGAAATCTGTAATCTTTCAAGGTTTTAAAAATTATTAAGGAACCATACTGAACATTTGCAGAGCAATTCGTTTTTTTTGCAATTTTTTGGCTTTGTTTAGATTTGATGAGTATGTTTGCACTATCAGGTATCGAATGCATTTACTTGATAGGGAAGTTCTACTAGAAATCAACTAAATTGATTTTTGCAATGAAGTTTTTTTTATTATTTTTCTCTTTGCTTTAATATTCACATAAATAATGTAAAATATGTTTGTTTCATTAAGTGCACTTATTGTGTTTCGGGTAGACCCCTTATAGGCATCCAAATGCCTTTCATCTGTCCCCTCCGTATCATAAATTTTTGTGATTCAATTTATGTATGAGTTTTGTTGATATTGAAGAAATAAACTTTCTTTCTTCGGAATTCTGCTTATGAAGTTTTTTTTAATATAATTTCAATTTTTTTTTCGGTGTCTGTTTGCTATGTTTTCAAGTGAGTTTTGATACACATTAGTCAAATTGACAGTTTTATAAAATAAGTTGTGGATCTTTTTGAATCTGCCATCTATAGCCCCAATGAATTTTATATTACGCGTAGGTTTTTTTTACTTAAGTATTTTCAAAAATTATTGAAGTATGTACTTTTAGAACTATTTTGACCATATACATTTTCACTTGCATCTTTTGTAACTATCTCCAACCTACTTTATCCGTACCCCTCTTCGTTATAGGGGGGGGGGAGATAGAGTTCCATTAACTGTTAGAATTAATTGCAATGTTTTAGCTGAAAAATACAAGGAAATGTACGGAACCGAAGACAGCATCCCAGCTACATTTCAAACAATAAATTTCATTGGCTGGAAGCCCCACCCCTCCCAGCCCAAAGCGAAGCCAAGGGGATCCGCTGAAGTCAGTTTCATGGATCATTTCAATCAACAGTCGAATTCTAATAAGGATGGTGATAGAAATTAGAGTTATTTCAATGGTTTTTTGCTACGTTGTAAAGATTGTGAAAAACGAAATACTGAATTTAATTTCTCGTAACTATTATTTTTAAAAAATGAGAGTAGGATATAAATGAAATGTTGGTAACAAGAACAAGTTAGTTAAGATTTAAGCGTTTAAGCCGTACATTGCTGTCGGCAATGTAAACTGTTTTATTATATTTTGAATGTAACTTTTGACAAGATTTCATTAAGAGCCGAATAATATAGTTCAGAGTCTTATATAAGTTGTGATGATATTTTTTCCCGGAAAAGTCTTAACGTTTGATCAGGTTCAAGTTTGCTTTTTAGCGGATTGACTCTTTTGATTTTTTTAGCTCAGTTTATTTCCTTTGCTAAGAGGAAGGCAAACTCCACTATCGAACAGTGAAAGTTTAACGACCACGAAAAAGGTGATCGACTTCGATTTCGAAAATGGAATTTAATTTTCGGATTTCCCAGCGAAATAATTTTTTTTGCTCCAGTTTTCTCAAATTGGATACACTTTTTTTAAATTGTCCATGAATTATTGTTCTAGAACTTCAAGAAGCTTTAAGGCCATATATTTTTAAGAGTCGATGAACTTAGTTCACTCTTATCTAGGTCGTGACGGTTTTTTTTTCAGGAAAAGGCTTTAAATTTCAGGCTCAAATTCGGTTTTTCGCTGACTTTTGATTTCTTTTTAAGTTCCGTTCATTTCCTCTGTTTATCGAATCGCGAAAATAATCACAAAAAACGTAATCAACTTCTATTTTCGAAAGTGGAATTTAGTTTTCAGATTTCCCAGTGGAACAAAAACTTACTTAATAATCCAGTTTTCTCAAATTGGGTTTATGTTATTAGACTAGCGAGCTTGCGAGCGTTAGTGTATTATTACGAACCTTCTTTTTTTTCTAACCTAACTCGCAAGTAAAAATATGTCCACTATAGGATCTGTAGAATTGGAAATTCCGTTGCATCTCTTTGCTTTTTTTGTGGCTAGTGTTTGTAAGTTAATAGGCATCCGCGGCCGAGTGGTTAGTGCGAATAATCTCTAGGTTGCAGTCCGAGACGTAGTAGAACTTTAACTAATTCGAGGCTTATTTCTACTTCTCACTGCTATTTATAGAGCTGCTTTTTGTGCTGTCGCTAGTGTTTGCGAAGCGCAGCTTAGCATGTGTCAAAAAATTGCCAATTATAAATTGTTTTGAAATAAAGTTATAAATTGAAAGTTTATCAATAAAGTTATAAATTGAAAAAGCGTTAAGCCCGTCTATTTTTAAATTTGAAATTTGGTTGCTGGTTTGCTTTTCACGTTGGTTGCTGTTCTATTTGTATTATGATGCGGGTCCAGTTTTTCCCTGGTTGAGTCGCTTGTTTCAATTCTGTTACATTTGAGATAACAGGAGTATTGCAATCGGGTATTAAACTTTTTTTCCCGTAAATGACTGTGTTCACGGGATGACTGAAATTTCGATCATCTCTACTTTCGTCAACGAATAAAAAGATCGAGAGCAGACCGTTTTTGAGCACAACTGCAATTTAAACTCCTGATCTTTTTATACTAGCGAGCTTGCGACCGTAGTGTTTAGTTCGAATCTTCTTTTTTCTATTCTTAATCGGCAGTAAAAGTGTTCCTTAAATGTCTCCAATTTCTTGGTGGCACTTTGCTTTTATCACGATCTGTATATAGCATTGGTAATTCATCGCATCAGTTTTTTTGCTTTTTCTGGGTAGTTTTTGTAGTTTATTATTATTAAGCGTCCGTAGTTGAGTGGATAGTGTGCGAGACTCATATTCTCTTGCTATGTATGGATTTTATTGCATTTGTCTGATGCTTCGCCTCTTTTTGTCAAACTTTTTGAAAAGATTGCGGTTTTTTTGCAAATTTTTTTTGTTGTTGAGGTTTTTTGTCCGGTTTGTCGGTTCACATGCAATTATTGAGAGTCATTCATTTTTCTGTTGCAAATTGTGCGAAGCGCTGCTTCGCCTCTGTGTTAAATTTTCTGCGATAATTAGTTTTGTTAAATTGCGTTAATATTATCAAAAAAAGTTTCCATCATAAAGTTTTCATGAACTTCAAATATCTTCAACCTAATTCGTTTTTCCTTCAAAAGGAAACAAAAATTCCCATTTCCTTGTTCTTTTACAATTTTCCAACTTTATGTTGGCTATGTTTGTAAATTTCCACCATTGTACCTTGCTATTTCACTATAATATTACTTTTTATGGAGCCTGTCATTTACAGTTTTCCCACTGACTGTTGGCTGTTTTTTTTTTGTTTGTTCAGTTTGAAATTGTATTGGTTCAAGTTAACATCCCCCCACAGACCAAGTTAAGATCCTGCACCCCAGAGTTCAATTTGGATTAAATTTTCTATGCGTTGTGTGCTAAATGCTTCCTTCATTCTGATGAACTAAAACTTCGAAATCAGAACCAAGTTAACATCCTCCCTTCCTTCTAAACGGCTTTGGGCATTTGAGGATGTAAACGGGGTTCCATTTTGTTTTGTAAAAAAATTAAACCGTTTCTTTTTACCCTTTTGCTTTCAGTTTCTTATCGTAAGTGTTACGAAGCAGCGTTAAGATTTTTTATTAGTTATATTTTTGTAAGATGTTATTTTTCTGGCTACGTCCCTGCGAAATGTTACTCCGTTTTTTACCTCTTCTGACCGACTTTGCTTCTCTCCACTTTGATGACGTCACCCGATAAAAATATAAGTATGAAAGAACGAAAGAATTCATTTCTCCGAACAAGTGTTAACATGATATCAGCTAACTCAAATTCAAAGACTCAAACAGAAATAGGTTTGAAAGTCGAAGCATCATTGTCATTTGAAATTGCTGTTAGTTTTTGTTGATAGTACTAATTTTATATATTAGCACAGTTCATCTACATGCCCAATTCTACTTCAATTTTGGATGGGCCAATAATTCTATTTAAACTTTAGAAATTTGTCTTTTTTGTAATATATTTTTTTCGTTTTTCTGAATTATTAGAGATAATAATAGTTCGGAGGTTTGTTCGATTTTTTTTTGTTTTTACTGTAAATTTTTTGCACTCATTCTAAGTGTGCTTTTGAGTCAATTTTGAAAGCCTGAACCAACATAAGCACCATAACAAAAGTTAAATATACGAGTTTTTTTTTCAGATAGATAACAAAATGATGTCATTATCGTTAAAGGTGGTTTCTGATTTATCTCAGATATTTTTATCTCATTTTTATACAATGATTGGCAGTGGTGTAAAACTTTATAAAACTTACGTTTTTTATTCCTTTTTAATATACAGGAATTTTTTTGTGAACAGTGTTTAAACAGATATGCATTATTTATTTAGCTAGCAGCGAAAGAACTGAAACATTAGATAAAATACAGCGTGCATCTAAACATGTCAATAAAAATGTAATTTCTCAAACCTAAGAAAATAGAATTATTATCTGAAAAACACATTTATCTTCTTTCTATCGACACTTGATCAGTGGCAGAAAGGGGATGTTTTGGGATATTATTTCGGACTGCAATATGGCATAAGTTTGTTCAGTTTCAAAAAACTTTTTTATACCCCTTCCTTCGCCAAAAAATACCAATAGAATAATCTTGGTCAGGAGTAACGACGTTATAAGGTGGATGCTCCGTTATTTCAGTTGTTTTGTCTTACTGTTTTTCTGTTTACTGTTTCTGCTTATAAAACTAGCATAAGTTACCACATATTTCAAATGCAACGTGGTACCATCATACCAAATGTGAAAGACTTCCTCCCTTTAAGATCTAAAAATAATTAATAAAACGTTTTCTTTCACTTACAGATTTACACCGCTTATGTTTTTTCGTTTTATATATTTAATTTGTATACATTCAAAAGAAACCAATTCAATATAGTTTATCAAGTTGTTTTAAACATTTTGGTTGGATAAACGAAACGTTGTACTGAAAAACACTGTAGGTTTATTTGTCCATAAAGTTCTGTAAAATCATTGGCAAAAAACAATGAAAAACGATTACTTTTCAGATCAATTTTGCGCATGTGATGATTTTACTCAGCTTGGTTTAGTTCAAGCGTGTTTTGTTGAAAATGAACAATGAAAAATCTAACCACAATGGAAATAACAGCTATAACAGTAATGTTCTTTCTGAAAACAACAACAACAATATTCTGAGTGGAAACCCGGGTAATTTACGAGAAATTGTGAAAATGCAACCCAAAAATCATAGATATTTGCGATACTCGTCTTTAGCCATTCTTGCGATCCAAAATGCGACCCTAGTTCTTATCATGCGATATGCCCGCACAATGCCGGGCGAAAAGTTCTACGCGACAACAGCGGTTGTCATGGCGGAAGCAGTTAAATTAGTCGCTTGTTTCTTTATTATTTCATACAATGAAGGCGGTGTCAGAGGTCTAATTCGAGAGCTGGACCGAAATATTATCAATGCACCTATGGATACCCTAAAAGTGGCAGTTCCTGGACTTATTTACACATTCCAAAATAATCTGCTCTATGTTGCAGTTTCTAATTTACCAGCAGCCACATTTCAAGTTGTATATCAGATCAAAATTTTAACGACTGCCCTCTTTTCGGTTATAATGCTGGATAAGAAGTTATCAATTATGCATTGGTTTGCGCTAGTTGTTTTAACAACAGGAGTAGCGATGGTTCAAATTGAAACTACTTTAACTAAAGATACTTCGAAAGACGATTTGAACTCGAATCAGAATCCAATTTTGGGTTTCGTAGCTGTGTTAATAGCGTGCTTGTCATCAGGATTTGCAGGAGTTTATTTCGAAAAGATTCTAAAAGGATCTCCTGTTTCAACTTGGTTGAGAAATATCCAGCTTGCCATTTTTGGAATTGTTTTAGGAATGATAGCTGTTTATATTAACGACGGTGCCAACGTGCTAGCTTTTGGATTCTTTCACGGATACAATCAATATACAATCATGGTCATCCTAAATCAAGCACTGGGCGGACTTGTTGTTGCATTTGTAGTTAAGTATGCAGATAATATTTTAAAAGGGTTCGCAACCTCAATAGCAATCATCATTTCGTGTGTGTGCTCTATATTTCTATTCAGTTTCGAAGTGTCGGCCGTTTTTCTAATGGGTGCTACGCTTGTTATTGGTTCTGTATGTCTCTACAGTAGTCGGTGATGAATATAATTTAATTCAAAATTTGCTCAAAAGGACCAATCACTAATAATAGTATGACGATTATCAAATACTTGGAATTTAATTAATTTTTCTTTTGCATTTGAGTAATTTATGTGATCACGGATTTTGAAGAGTTTTGATAAATTGACATTTTAGAAAAAAAAATTTGATCGAAACCTTCGCGTGGATAAGAGCAGTCACAGATCTGGACCTTCATTGTTCATTTTAGCTTCGAATTCTCGACAGTAGACGGCATAATTTTTTATCGATAAATCATATTATTGAAAGAATTTTTCTATAAAGTTACCACTCTTTTGGAAACTGGGCAGCCATTTTGCCGAGACCCGTAGAAGTTAGAAACCAAATTTGAACGACCAAAATTGAGGGGAAACGCAATTGAATTTGAATTGTCTGTCTTTCGTTTGTCTGCTCAAGTTTTGTCCGCTTAGTTGCCCTATCACGGTTGTTGATTGTGCTGTTAGCGACTTTCACTAAAATTGCTAGTGATAGTGTTGGTCAAAGTAGTTTCAGGGGGGACTTAAACTTTTTGAAATATTTTTTTTTCGGCTCAACTGGTGTTTAGTCAAAGATTGTCAGCTTAGTTGCCCCATCACTGATTTTTTTTTGCTTTGCTGTAAGCAGCTCTCATTGTGAAAGTGTGGTTGTAGTTTCAGGAGAGACTTAATTTCTGGGGGACTTAATTAAATCGGCTCAACTTGTCTGATCACTGACTGTCGGCTTCGTTTAGCCTTAAGCTTTATTCCGTTATTAATTTGATCTACAATTGTCTGACAGGTTTGCCTAGAAGGAACTTGTATCGAACGAGACATTCGAATTTTTTTAAACTTAGATAGACCTAATTTTTTCTCAACATTTTTTACTTTTTTTGACTTTTGTTTGTGTTGTTTCGTGGGAGGTGCGAAGCTCCGATCCGCCTCTGGTTTTAGTGTCAGTGTTGATTTGTCTAGGAGGGAAAGAAAATCATTGATGAAATTGAAGGAGATGGATCCTGATAATAGCTTATGGTGCTGTTGCACCGAAAGACGTTTGCATTCAGTGTGTCGGTGATCTATGTAGCTGATATTCGGGGCTCTGTTACGACTTGCAGAGCTGCGTATTGAACGGTTTTAGAGGTGAACTTTTGGTGGCAGCTGAATAAAAATAGTCACTTAAAAACAATGCATTTGGAAAGCACAAAATGAAGCGAAGTAATCATCAAATAATCAATGAAATTCAGACCATTACATTAAAAAATTCCTGTCAGCTTTGTCTTCTATCTCTAGCTGGTCCACTACTGCCTTACAATTTAACTTGATCCAATGTCTGCTGGTGCATCGTTAATTTATTTTCCGTTCCGCAGTTTCTTCCAGCTGGCTCAGCCCACCAAAGTTTACTTTCTTTACTCTGCTGTCGTCGGGCTTTCATATCATGTGTGATAGCCATTCCATACTTTGTTTTTCGATTTTCATTCGTATTGATGTATTTGGGCAGTTCTTTTCTCACATTCCATCTATTTTTTAAATTTCTTTTAGTGGCGCTTATTTCTTGGAATTCTACGCATATCGGTAAAATTTGTCAATATTTTTTGTGTTCTGTTGATTTTCTGACACTTTCCATGTGCGTATTTGGCAATTGATCATCGTGCTTGAGTCCTTTTTGTTAACCGTGAGTTTTTAAGACGCTTTTTGACCTTGTTCCGTGCCCCCATTTCGTGTTGAATGCGTGACTTAGTTCCTCCAGACTCCACAATTATAGCCTGCGGGTTGTTTTAGGAGGTGCTTGGTTCGGCTATTGCCGGGCTACTCCCTTCCATAAAAAGGTACTGGATACGACTTCTTGCGTTATCAATTTCGTTTCCTCTTTTTGAGGCTTTGTTGTTTGTAGAGTCGCTCTCCACCAACTGGTATGTCCCACATCCGGAAAGCTAGTGATATTAAATTGTCGTCCTTCACATACGTATTGTTTTTGATTGTCTGCTGATTAACCAGTCTCGTAAAAACCGACTTATGCTTAGTGCTCACGCGTTTCCGCAGATCTTTTTTTTTCGCTCATTTGACTCATCGAAAAAATGGCGTCTAAATGATCACGAGTTAGATCAAGGTCAAGCAATGTATTCATGCCGTAATCGATTCCGTTTTCCTGATCGGAGTGAAAATATTAGACAAACTTCTTTTGCAGGACGGGCATAATCTGCATGTTCAGATCTTGTTTTGAGACATCAGATTAAAGGCTGTTGTGCACTTTCAGATTCTAAAACATAGCCAACAGATGGTTGGAAAAGTGTAGAAGACCAAGGAGACCGGAAAAAAAATGGAAATAAGATATTTCAAGTCCATTTTTGAAACTAGAAGCTATAAATTCTTTGGTGACCTTACAATTTTGCTGTTCGATAGTGGAGTTTGCCTTCATTTTAACAAAGGAAATGCTTTGAATTTAAAAATAAATAGAAAATCAAAGTGCAAAATAACAACCAATTTGAACGTGAACAAACTTGAGACTTTTCCATTAAAAAACAAAAAAAAAATCATCAAGATCTCTATATCTCTATATAAGTGCATTTGGTTGGCTTTTCAGGTTTGTTTCTGACTTGACTTTGTTTTATGGTGGATGTGGTAAGCTTGAACAAACTTTGTTAACCTTGAGTGGCTCAAAAATAATTTGAAGAATGCCCGTGAACACTTATTTCGACATCACAATTGGAGGGGAAGCTGCGGGCAGAATCACTATGGAGTTGCGGGATGATGTGGTTCCGAAAACTGTCGAGAACTTCAAACTTCTCTGTACAGGAGAAAAAGGTTGGACCGAAATTTAAAAGAGTTTTTGACTTTTTTATGTCGTGATTGGGTAAACATGCAGTTGGAGTTGAAAGTTCAACATGGAAGTTGAGCTTGAAACATTTCATCTCTCTCGTAAGTTTTTGTTATTCTGTAACAACGCCTAGTTTTTAAACAAATTACGAAGGGGCATAAGGGACATCCAAATGGACGATTAGGACTTTTTTTTTTAGAAAACTGTATCTGAGAAATACAAAGTTTTTGGCTGGAAAATTCATTTTTGAGCTGCCCTGGATTGAGTGAAATTTCAAGCCATGTGTTTGTTAATTTGTAGAAAAAAATAAAAGTTGATTTAAATCAAGTTTTAAAAAGGCGGCAGAGGGCAAAATAATCCGAAAAGGGCGAAATTCGAAAAATGATATTTCAGCAGAACGAAGAGAGAAGTGTGTTTGCCCTACTAATTATAATGTCTCTGAAGAATTTACAGCGAGATCTGATGTCTAACTGAGTCTGACTCTGAATACTAGTACATTTTTAAAATAAAATTCACAGCTATCTCGAATTTCAAACACAGTATGTTTTAATTTCCTCGTTGGTTATATCAACTATGTTCAGAATTATATCCAAGCAATCACGATGTTGCATCGATAAGGTCCTTTTCTTTTCTCGAACTAAAAAAGTAGCTTTCAAATTTGATCCATTGAAATCAAATTCAACTCCAGCATCTGGATGTGTCCATCTACGATTAGTGTAATAATTGACTGGTATCCACCAATGTTTTGAGAACACTTCATACACCGGCATATTGGTCACGTTTTTGTTTTCAAATGGTAACGCGCCAAAATAGCTTAAGTTCCTGTGTTCCAGGTTATGGCTACCAGGATTCCATTTTTCACCGCATCATCCCTGGCTTCATGTGTCAAGGGGGAGACTTCACCCGTCACAATGGAACAGGCGGCAAGAGTATATGGGTCAGTCAATTCAAAGTTACTCCAATCTTAGAAAGAAAACAAAAATAAACTATAGGATCCTCGTAGTGACCAATTTTTTCTTTTCTTTCTCTCTCTCTCGCGTAGCCTAAATATGAAAAAAAAAAACTTTTTTTATTTTTCAGTTAAAAAGCATAGCTCTTGTAAAGTTTCTATTTAAGCTTCAAGTGTAGACTTAGAGTAGATCAGCTGATCATTTTATCTACCCATTCCAAGGGTTTCAATAATCCAAAGGTAGCGCAATCGGGTACTAGCCTTTTTTCTCGTTAATAACTTTGTTCACAGAATGGTCAAAATCAAAAATGGTAAATTTAAGATCCGTTCAAAATGAATTCTAATTTTTGTGTCTCTATGTTTTTTTTGGTCTGGTGGTAATTAATACGCCTGTGACGGCAAAGGTCTTAAGTTCGAATCTGAGACGACCTTTTTTTTGAACGAAAAATTCGTTTCAAAAAAAATTGTCGGCTTATGATTTGAATGCCTATTTATCGGCTTATTGTTATTTGTAGCCACATCGTATAATTGTTTTTTTTGCTGAACGCAATTTACAGTGTAGTTGCTTGTAGAGTTTTGATTTACTTTTGCTGTTTGTAATTTTGTATGTTTATTGTTTTACCTTCTTCTGCCTACATGATTTCAGCTCATACTTCATCAGCTTAGTGGCCGCCTAATTTTGAATCGTTTGAAGGGAAAAAATATTATGATACAGACAAATTGCTACAATATTACTAGAAATTATCGTTCAAGTTCTACATTACATTATTTTCATCACCGGCCTTTTTTTCTCTTTTTTGGCTGGATAGGTTTCGGCCTATATTATATCGGCCTAATGGCCTCATATTGCGTTTTTCAACAAGCCAAAAAACATGCTCTTTCTAGATCGCTCAAATTGCGTATATCTTAAAAGAAATAGTTGTTCATGTTTTTCATGCAAACATTTTTTTTGTGGCTTGATAGGTTTCGCCTGTATTGTATAGGCTTAATGGCGTCATTGTGCGTCTTTTGATGAGTTAAATAATTAGAGCATGTGTGTGTGTTTTGAGGGTGAAGGGGGACTTTTAACTTTTTATACGTCATAAGTCTTGTTTATTATTTGTCGGCTGGAAGGTTTTCTGCGAAGGACTTTCGGCTTTGTTACCACTTGGATTTTTTTAGATGCGATTTTTACATTCGATTGTCTTGGCATGTTTTTGCTTCAAAAGTAGCCTGGTTCATTTTGATAGATCTGGCTTTTCAACATTTTCGATTTTTTTTCGATTTAGCGGCTTTCTGTCTTTGTATAGCAAATGGTGCGAAGCACAGCTTCGCCTCTGTGTGTAATTGATACTCTTGGATGAATTAGTTCTTCTTCTGATTTGATCCACTTGGGGTACTAAGCACAGCAAAACCTTACTCATTAACGAGCTTTGTGAGCGTTATGAGTTTAGATGAAACAATTTTTTAATTGGAGCTAATTCATTAAAGTTTGCTAATAAGCTTAGTATATTTGAATGACGTTTTTTTTCGTTTTTGCTGAATTCTTAAGTTTTCAATTTATTGTGATTTTTGAACCAGTTCAAGGCAGTTATTAAGAGTAATAAACGTAGTGAAGACTTTTATATAGGTCTTGCTGATTTTTTTGTTTTTTTTTTTGAGGAAAAAGTCTTAAAATATTGATGCACTTAGGTATAATGCACTTTTTGAGTTCAATTGAAATTCATCTGCTGAAAGTGACGTAAATAGCACTCTCCAAATACGAAAGTGGAAAAAGCGCGAAAAAACGTGAACGATTTCTAGTTTCGAAAGTGGAATTTATTTTTAAGATTCCCAGCGTAATAAAAACATTACCTATTGATCCAATTTTCTCAAGTTGGGTTCATGTTATCAAAAAAGTGCCAATCATAAATTGTTTTAATAATTCAAAGAGCTTAAAGGGCATCTATTTTTTCTTTGAAATTCGAAAGTTGAGATTTTTTCACGAAAGTTATTGTTTTTTTATGTATGCTTGCGTTCATTACTTTTTTCTTCCAATCTTCGATTGGCTATGTTTTGCGTGAAACCGGGATATTGGGGCATGGGTTTAAAAACTAAACACATAAAAGTGCATTTCGTTTTTTCTAGCTTTTTCAATAGTTCTTCAAATGAATTGCCCCAAAACGCGGTAAATCCATGACATGATTACTTGATTTACCGGAGTTGGTTCACAATTTCAATAAATTTGATTTCTCAATGAATTAAGGACAATTCAAGATTGTGTCAACCACCTTGACCAACTTGAATGAGTCCAAACTGCTCGAAATGACAGAAAGGAACTATTGTTTATTCTGTGTAATTTATTCTGCCCGGTTTTGGTTGCCTCAAAGAAAGCTTTTTAGTGGTCAAATTTGGTATCATTTAAAAACCCTTTCAGCCGTGATTAAGATTCAAAGTTTTTGGAAAGAATTGTCATTTTCGAGAAAAACTTCTGTTTTTCATACTAAATGATAATATTTATATATGAAACTGACTCTCACTTTAATTTGAATGCATTTTTTACATCAGTTAAGCTTTTATTTGAAAACAAAAATGACGAAAAATGTAAAAAAAACTACTGTGCTTTTTTGTTCCAGCCTTCGAAAATGTTGAGGAACCTTGTATTCGGGTGTGTTTTTGCTTTTTCTTTTTTCTTCTTCAAGCAAAATCAGCTGCCACAAATAATCATCCGTGAGAGTTGTGGTATATCATTTTAAAGCCTTTTCAGTCCAGTTTTTTTTTCATTTAATTGGTGTTCATTTTTTGAAAGCAAATTTTTGTCAATCATGCTCAATTCACTAATTCTCTACGAGATTGTATAATTCTCGAATCATACCACCCACTAAAAGTGACACTAATTTGTTTATGAATATAGTCGGAACATTCTGTGCTTCTAGCACACTAACCGGTTATCCTGGTTTAGAATTGGAATTGTTTAGCGTTGTGCATTTGAGTCTGATTGAGCAACAGTTCAAGTTATTATCTTTCTTCTGAATCGATTTGGGGTGCGAAAGGGCACGTTTTTTTCCAGTTCCGCATTTTAATGGTTGATGAATAATTGTATTTCTCATGCAGGGTGAGAAATTTGCGGACGAAAACTTCACGCTGAAACATACTGGAAAGGGCATACTCTCTATGGCCAATTGTGGACCTAACACTAATGGCTCTCAATTCTTCCTCTGCACCGCCAAGACATCATGGTTGGATGGAAAACACGTGGTGTTCGGCAAGGTTGTAGATGGTAAGGAACTATAAGGGATATCGGGTCTGTTAGATAATTTAGAGAAATATGTTTCACTCTGATCATCCTTAAAAATTTGCGACTGTTTGATGATTGAATGCATTTTTTGAATTGTTGTTTTTTTAGTGTTTTTGGACGTTGCCGAGAAATATGTTTTTTTTTGCATTTCAGAAGTGAAGTTGGAGATCCTTTTTATTCATTAAATTGAGAAAATGTGGCTGTTTTTTTGTCGAAGTTAGCCGAAGTGAAAGGAACTACTCGGATATTTTTTACGACCATCTGTGATTTTTTCTTGTTTTTAGTTTTGAAACGATCGAACAGACAGCATTCAAAAATATTAATCTTAACCTATCCTTAAATTATTTAAATGAAACCCACGTAACATTGGGTATTCACTCTCATCACGTTCGTCTAAGTTGAAAGTTCTAAGTGTCAATGAATAAGTTCAATTCAAATTCATTTAATGAAAGTGAGGCAGTTTGTGCTCTCGAATACAATGCTTCTTTATCCAATTTTCTCTAATTGGGTTAGTTTTAATTATTGTAAGTCAAACTATCATAAACGATTTTTTTTTGAAATTCCAAGAGTTTAAATGAGATAATTTTCTTGAACAGAAATGTGAAAACTCTCTCGGCTATATTTTTACCCTTGTGATAAGCAAGGGTTTTGCAACCGGGTACTAGATTTTTTTTCCGTGAATAACTTAGGTCACAGAATGGTAAATGTCTAGAAAGTTTGAAAAGCAAGTTTACAAATATGCAGTTTATGCAGCGTACTTGTTTTGCTGTATAGGACTTGCATTTTAGCGGTAAGATGCAAATCTTTTTTTGATTTTTTTTACTGAAAATACTTCGGCTGTTTTTGAGCTTAAGTATCGGCTTTAATTCTGTCGGCTTATTTGGCTAATAATTTTTTAAATTTGTTTCCAGCCTTTTTTGGATTTAATTCAACTTCAATTAGGTATGTTTGGATTTTTGAAATGACTTCTCCGACCTTATTTGAAAACGTCAGAATTAAGAACAGCAAACTCGATGAAAACATTCCAAAAAAATTTCGAGACTTTTTTTATGATTGTTTCTAACGTTTTCAAATAAGGTCGGAAAAGTGATTTCAAAAATGCAAACAACAATCATATTCTTTTCGTTACTTAAGGCAATTGAAGTCATGAGTTTATTCGCTATTTTCTTGGTGTAATTATCAATCAATTTTTTCGTCAATTGATTTTAATTTTGCTTTTATTGCTTTCTAACCTCTATATTTTAATAGAACGACAATATCACTAAGCATGAGACACGTATTCAGGAGGCCTTAACTGCTAGTAGATCACAAACTACTTTTATATTGTTTTTATTGATACTTTGCTCAGTATTTTCAAAATAACAAATTTAGTTTGTTTGCGCTATTTTGTTCTAGTACACTTAATGTTTTTCTTTCCTTCTACATAGTGTTATTTTTTCATCTGCAATTCAAATTTCAGCAGGCTAATAAAATAGAAGAGTTTTTTTTGCCAGCTTTTTTCTTGGCGATAATTTTTTGTCTTAGTTTGTTTGGACTTAGTTCGGAGCAACTTTTCGTCCTTATTTCTGGTGATTTCTGAGAACATTTGCTTGCTGATCGATTCCAATTAATGGCACATCAAATTTTTGACAAAAAAATAATTAAGTTTCAACGTTTTCTGCTTTTAAAATTCCCACGTTTGGATTTTTAGGACCATTTATCCCGGTTTTGTCTGCATAGTTACCGCTCGATAACTTTTTATGCTAGTTCAATGCTGGTTTTTGTGTTCTGCTACAGATATTTATCAAAATTAGTCTCATTTTGAGACAAACGTATAAAAATTTCGGCTGTTTTTTGGCGTGTTTTTTCAATTTTTCATATTTGGAGGCTTTATGTATCGCAAGTGGTGCGAAGCTCTGCTTGGCCTCTGTGTAAAAGCTCAAACACTTTTTGTTCCGATGTTCCGACCATTTGAAAAATGGGTCGGAATTGTGTATGCGGGTATGTTAAACTTTTTTCTTTTTGTTTTCCACGCATAATCAGGTAGGTAGCACATAATTATGGGAATTCCATATTTAAGCCCTTTCAGTCGTGATTCGAACGACATGAAGAAAAAAAAGTTGTCCTAGTATTGAGAAACTCAGGTTCAAAAATTTTGATTTTCAGTCTAAATTCGAGCAAATAATGCTAGCTAGCAGGCTTACAATAGCCTATTTTTGTTTGATTTTGGCCGTGAAAACTTAGTTTTACCCAAATAAAGTTGTTTTTTTTTTGCGCCATCTGGGAATAAAAACCATCAAACATTCAAAAAAATTGATTCTGCAAAAAAAAACTTTTTTGTACTGTTTTAGACTATGATTGAAGCATTCGGTACTACTTTCACAGCAACCGGCTATCCTTGTTTTGTTTGTAGGAATGGATATTCTGAAAAAGATGGAGGCTGTCGGGTCCAAAGATGGCAAGACTTCGAAGGAGGTCAAAATTGCAGCTAGTGGAATCTGCTAGAAGTAATAATAATTGTTGTTCGCCTAATTCAGTTCATAACTTGATTAACAGTGCTTCGATCAATCAATTTTGGCTGGCTGGTTTCGACTAGTAGGGACTTATTGACTGACTTACTAACTAATGATTGGTGCAGTTTTTTTGCTATTTGGTGAAGTTTGTGCCATGTTTTCAGTGCCACAAGTTGTGATGTTTATTCTTGAAGACAGTTTTAGCTGTTGTTCCGACAACCCTTTTGTTACGCATTGTTCGGATTACTTTTCATTAAGAAATTACATAGAATCAAGTTCAGTGTAACTGTTCGAAATTCTGAAGTAACGTGTTGATTTATGCTGGTATTAATCCAAGCTTTGTAACTAGCAGTTTTCACGCTTCAATGGTTCATAAGCATTAATATTTCTAACAAAGGTTTAAGAGTGTTGAATCTTTCTTGAAAACTTCGCTTTACAATTTAGCTTGCAACTGGTCATTGCAATTCTGAATGTTGCTCTTAAAGTTGGTTATCTTTAATATTAGATGCAAATATTGATTAGTATATTTACAAGATGTTACATTCTGGCGTGACAGTTCTTTGTTCGATGATGGAATGAAACTATGCTCTCCTTTGTGTATCTCCCCTTCTCGTTGAAAACCGGGACGCCTAACGTTTTAAATTCTACCGCGAACAGTATCTGGTTTGTTTATGTTTTCCCCGTGATTCTTAGACAGAGTAGTGATTTTTTTTACTTCTTGATGTTAACCGAAGATATCAACGCCAGCAGCCCGGATTCTGCTACAAGCTGCTCCAGTTTTCACTCGATTTTTCAGTTGCCGTATGATCCGAACTGATCTATTGTGGTTGCTTTCGCGTCGCTAGAACGTTAGATCTAATAAAGCTGTTCGAAAGTAAAATCATCACTCGAAAGTTTTGAGGAATTGCCATCTGTTTTTCAATGAGTCATGTAGAATATGAAATTCTAGGCTAACCTAAGTAGTGCGTGGACACATTCCTGTGACTAGAGCGCAGTGACCCTCCCCTTTTTGTCTCCCCTCGGATTGTACGCGATACCATACATAAATAGCTTCTGCCCCAGTTCGGCCTCACTTATGCCCGGCGACGTAGTTCCATTTAGGAGTGTTCAGGTCACTTCGGTACTCGTAAATATGCACACCGAGTAGTTCAGCCAAAATGTGCAGGTCCGATTCGATAATACCCCGATCGAGTAACGACTGTTTGGGGTCGTGGTAAGGGTAATAAAAAGAACTCAGGCGGCCCGCCTGCTTTTTCTGTTGCTCCTTGAGTTCCCTCTGTAAGGCCCAGGACCTTCCTCGGTTCCCAGTTAGAAGGTAATGAATGCAATCAAGGAAGCAACATGATCCCCCAAGCGCGCACTCCATCAAAACGGGTTCGTGAGAAATCGGGTCAACAGTATCGTGGTTATTGAGGGAAACAGGTTTCCGCCCAAGCGATAGGCCCAGGGTTCGACAAATACGTGCTCTGGACTCTATACTTAAATGGCGCATCGGGCCGTCGGATAAGAGAACCATTCGCTGTATTGAGCATTCCTCGCAATTTTGCACACAAAAAGGGCAGCTTCCCGTAAGTTATCGGTGTGATACTTGCGATTAGCGGAACGCTCCAGCTCCAGATAACCCCTTGATCATTTAATTCGTCCCGATGAATATGCACAAGGGTCGGAAGGGTGATTTTGAGTTTTTTCTTTTTACATCGATTCGATCAATAAACTTACTTTCCAGATCATCCAATAGATGCTTCCTGCTATTTACTATTGCTTTCTGAGTTCCAATGACAGTTGATGAGACAACTTCCTCATCTCACGCTGCTCTCACTCTCTCTTCACTTTCAGCAACAGTTCAAGCAATCATCGTGATACGAATTACAATAGTTGGAACGTTTTGATTGGACTCGTCGCTTTTTAAAAGCTTCTTTAATTGAATATCGTCAGAAGCAGACATTGCTTATGGTTGCCACCCTAAGTGTTCTGATTTCAAATAGAAACAGAAACATGAATTATTTTATTGCGTTCACAAAATGTGACGCCGCCGCCACCACAAAAGAAATTTGTTTTTATTCCCTTGCAAAAGGAAGGGAAATGCTATTGGAATAATTCGTATAACGTTTTAAGCATTGAGAATTGAAACGACTATTCTCATTCAATGCGAATATTAACGATTCCTCTCGTAAAATACGAGCATACGAAACCTTCTTCTCGTAAAATACGAATGTACGAATAGAGAATACGAAGTTAAGAAGTAACTTCTCATTTGATACGAAAAGTGGTACGATTTCCCATCTGAGTATAAATAGAAGCTCAAAACTACGGGAATTCATTCCCAACAATTTCTCTTCTAACACCACAACCTCCCTCTCTAATATTCCCAACAATATCTTTTCTAACACCAACACCCCTCTCTTCTACCACCCCAACCAATCTCTAAAATAATATCTACTCGCAGTAAAAATATCTCTCATCTCACCGTTAAAATAGATATTGAGTCAA